TGGAGCTTTAGACAGGGTCTCCCTATGAGGCCCTAGCTGACCTGGCACTTGCTATGCAGACCCGGCCGGCCTTGAACTCGCAGGGCTCTGCTAGCCTCTGGGATTGGCGTTTGTTCTGTTGTGCTCCGCTAGACAGGAGGGATTTGGAGGAGAGGGAGTGAGGGAGGGGAGAGGGAGCATGCAGAGACAGAGGAGCGGGAGAACCATCAGAGAGAAGATAGGCTGGCGGCGGGGAGAGACAGGCTATATTTAGAGACCGGAAGAGACAAGTACGCGGGAGAAGCCGGGAGTGTAGTCAGGGGCTGAATCTCCCAGGGTGGGTGAAGGGTGGGCTGCGGCACGCACGGTGCAGCCTGGGAGCAGCTGGGGGGGGGGGCTTCAGGACGCTTCTTCAATGCCTGTCCCCAGAGCACAGGGCTGGGCAGGAGCTAGTCAGGGAGCTAGACAGGAGTCTCTTCCCTCCCTCCCTCCCTATCCACATGCCTCCCCTGTGTTTGCCTAGGGTGGACAGTGAGGATGGACCCTCTCTGTCTTCAGGAATATCTTTAGAATTTTTTGTTTTGTTTTTGTTTTCCGAGACAGCGTTTCTCTGGGTTGGTTTGGAGGCTGTCCTGGAACTCGCTCTGTAGACCAGGCTGTACTCGAACTCACAAAAATCCGCCTACTTCTGCCTCCCAAGTACTGGGATTAAAGGTGTGCACTACCAGCGCCCGGCTCCCAGGTTGCTTTTTAGATTCCTATTAGCAGATATTAATTATACACAATGAATCTCATATATATATATACACATATATATATATGTATGTATATATGTATAATGTGTTTTGATTGCATTCACCCTGTCTCCTTGCGGACCCCTTTCCTATTCACCCCTCCCTTTTCTTGCATGTTGTTGTGGGTGTCTTTGTATGATCATGGGGAAGGGATGATTGACAGGAGCTTGGGCACCTTACCACAGATTCTCAAGGAGGGGGTGGAGCCTCGGGTCCCCACCCCCTCAGGACCATCTTCCAGGCTTACCCTCTCTCATCTCTCTCTTCCTCTCCCTCCTCATCTTCTTCCCCCTCCCCTCTCTCCCCTCCCCCTCCTCCATCCTTTCTCTCTTCCCTCCTCTCTTTGAAATAGTGTCTCACTGTAGAGCCCAGGCTGCCTTCAGACTCAGAATGTTCCTGCCTCAACCTGCCCCAGTGTTGGAATGACAGGCCTGAGTCTGCATTCCAAGCTTTTCCTCTCTCTCCATCCTCCTCCTCTTCCTCCTCCTTTTTTCTGGACACGGTTTCTCTGTGTAGCCCTGGCTGTCCTGGAACTCGCTCTGTAGACCAGGCTGGCCTCGAACTCACAGAGATCCTCCCGCCTCTGCTTCCCGAGTGCTGGGATTTAAGGCGTGTGCCTGCCTCCTGGCCTCTCTCCCCTTGTCTTTCTGGGTCTCCCTTTCTTTTCCTGCTCCTCTTAGCACTCTGGCCCGATCCCTTCCTCCCTCTGCAGCCCAGTGACCTTCGTGCCCTCTTGAAGCCCAGCAGACCTCCCGGCCCCAGCTGGCCATGAGGTGCTCTTCAGTCCCAGACCCCCTTTATGATCCACTTCAGGGACGGACACTTTCCCAGGATCCACAGGGCGCCAGGAATGTGGGGCAGAGAGTACAGAGGCCCCCAGGGGCCAGGCGGTAAGGACCCCCACCCCCATGCTGTCTGCTCCCTGCTCCTGATGTGGACCTCAGGGCGCTCCCTGCCCTTCCTGGGGCCTCTGGGCCTCAGCTGGTCCTCTGCAGAATGGGCAGGCTTGCCTCTGTCCCACTTACCACACAAACCCCAGGGGGCTGGAGACCAGTCTGAACTGGTGGCCTGTGTTGAAGGGGGGATGTAGACACTGAGTTCTCATACTGGGTTCCAAGTCACCCCACCCCACGTTCCTCCACAGATGTTCCCCAGCCTGGGGTGAAGAGGGATCGCGGAAGTAGAGACTGTGAAAACATGGGTGATATATGGGTTCCTGTAACCATGGGACCACTTCAACACTGCATGCCCGGCTGGAGGGATGGCTCAGTGGTTGAGAGCATGGGCTGCTCTTCCAGAGGACCTGGGTTCAATGCCCAGTACCCACATGGCAGCTCATACCGTCTGTAACTCCAGTTCCAGGGGATCTGAATCCTTCACACCAATGCACATAAAATAGAGTTAAACAACTTATTTTTTTTTTTTTTAAAAAACAGACTGTTAATGAGTGACAATGTGACAGTGGGAATCACAGTGTGTGGGCAAGTAACCCACCGTACGACTGGCTGTGGGACCAGCGAGGGTCACCTATGTAAGCTGGGAGTGGTGAGCCCCAGTGTAAGCCCAGAGTCTGGCAATTGGAGGCAGGAGGATGATGAGTTCAAGGCTATCCTTTCTCACAAAATATGAAAAAGGGTACAAAAAGGCGACATTGGCCTTTTTGATTCAGTGGTTAAAGGAGACTGCCATCGAGCCTGACAATATAAACCCACGCCTGGAACTTACACAGAACGTCTGTAGTTTGTGAGTGTGGGCGGCACAATGGCATGGCTGTGTGCCTGTGCAGCACGGGGTGTGACGACTCAAGCATGTGCGTTTGGCGACCCCCCGGGAGTATGTGTTGTTGTTGAGTGTGGTGTGGACTCCGTGATACTGTGTGGTGTGCGTCAGAGGGTGACAGTGTTTGTGGATGTGTGTGTGACACTGTGTGTGACCTTCAGATTGGTCTGGGAGGTGACTGAATGTGTGTGAAACACACACACAAGCACATTTATGTCCTGGACATTCATTGCTTGAAGTTCTGCTTTGGTTGGTGCCTCAGGCGCCCAGGTCCTGTCCTCCTGGGGGACACATCCTGGTGGCAGGCAGCCTGACATGACATACCCTATTGCGTGTGGGTAAGTGTGCTATTTATTGATAGTGTTCCGGAAGCGAGATGTGGTTACAGATGCCTGGGTAGCTGAAATATGAATCCCAGCACTTAAAAGGCTGAGGCAGGGGGATCTAACGTCGGAGACTCTGTTTTATTAAGAAACAACAAAGAAAGGGCTGGAGAGCACTGGCTGCTATTCTAGAGGACCCAAGAGGACCCAGGGTCCAGTACTCAGCACCCACCGGAAGGAAGGCTCACAACCATCTGTAACTCCAGCACCAGTGCCCTCTTCTGGCCTCCGTGGGTACTGCATGCATGTGGGATACGTACACCCATGCAAGCAAAACATAATGAAATTAAAACAAAGCAACTAAGTTAAGCATTATGGTGATGGATGGCTCAGTAGATGAAATGTTTGCTGTGCAAGAGTAGGAGCCTGAGTTTGATCCTCAGCAAGCAGCAAGTAAAGCTGGGTAGTGTGTGTTTGCAACCAGCACTGGAGAGGTAGAGGCAGGTAGATCTCTGTGAGTTCAAGGCCAGCCTGGTCTACAGAGTGAGCCAGAGCTATACAGAGAAATCCTGTCTCGAAAAACCAAAACAAAGTAGACAGCACCCAAGGATGACATCAGAAGTTGTCCTCTGGCCCTCCTACACATGAACACGCACACACAGACACATACACCAAAGAATGTCAACAGAAAGATTATGATATTAGGGCTCTGCCAGATAGTGTTTGCATGTATGTGAAGAGTTCACGGCCCCGGGCACACAGCCGTGTGTCCCTGTGGGTGATCGTGAACCCCATGGGTGAAAGTCTGGCTTTCTCAGCGTGGTCACACTTACATAGCTGTGAATGAACTTGCTACTACTCACAGAGTCGCACTCCATGCGGCTCTCGGCAATTCGGCTCTGCATTTGCGCGGGGCTGTTGCAAGTGGCTCGAGGGGATAGTGTGTTCTGTGTGGCTGGAGGGGGTGGGGTGCGGGGAGGGCCGGACCACAGCTGAGTGGCGGCTCCTACGTGACACAGAGTGGCTGTGATAAACGTGCCTGCTCCTCAGTTCCCACTCTTCCCCAGCCCCCCTCCTGTTCTGTTCCACCCTGGCCCCGCCTCCTCCAACACCCCAGCCTGCCAGCGCCTGTCACCTCTGCCAGAGCTCAGACAGGCCAGGCTGGGCAGCTGTGGCAGGAGACTGGGAGATTGGGACCGGGGACTGGGCACAGGTAAGGGGTCCCCATCCACCCCCTGCCCTGGACCTGTCTCTCCCTCGTCTCTGTGTCTCTCTGCCTCTCTGCCTTTCAGTCTGTAGATGGCTTTAATTTCTAGTCTTTTCCCATTCTCTGTGTCCCCCTGCTCACTTCTTTCTGTGTGGGAAACCCACCTTTTTGTCTCTGCCCTTTTTTTACCTTTGGGCTCTGATCTCTTACTGCGTCTCATTGTCCCCGAGTCTTTCTGCTTTCATCCTGTCTCCGACGCTGCCCGCCGACCCCCCCCCCCAGGCCTGAGATTCCTTCTTGAAACCCTGCTTTCACATTGTCTGGGTCAGGGTGGGTGATGCTTGTGGTTGAAAGACTTTTTAGCGTATTTAGCATGCTCAAAGTCAGAAAGCCAGGGTCTAGTTACTCAGTATCTGGATGCTGGGAGAACGTTCTCTCTGACTCTGGGCTTTATGTATCCAAAGCCAGGAAAGTTTTAGAAGATGGGTTCCTATCTCATTTAAAAACATTTTGGGCTGGGAGGATGGGAACTCAAATGGTCGTTTCAAGTTCCCTTCTCTACTTGAATGATGGTTTTCCAACCCCCCCCCCCCCCCGCACACACACCAGAAGGTCCCAGGTTCCCGAGTCTCCCAGGTCTAGCCCAGACTGCGCTTCTGCCAGTCACAGCTCTAGGGCAACAGGGCCCCTCAGCAAACAACCCTCCCTTCCACCTTGGCTGCCTCAGCAACACTCACTTAGGAGGGCCTGGGAATCGCTTAGCTGATCCCAGCCCCACTTAACCACTGGAGGCCGCACCTAGTCCGGCCCCACCCCAAATCCTCACCTGCATCTGGCAGGTGAGCCCTAACTGAGGCTGAAGTGTTGATTCGCCCCGGGACCCTCCAACCCAACCGCCTCCGAGTAGCCAGTCTCCATCACCTTCAAGGATGCCCCCGCGGCTTCTGTTTCTGCTGCTGGGTCTGTGTGGGCTGCCACTCCAGAAGGCGGAGGTGAGGACCTAGACAGACGCAGGCGGTCTGGCAGGGCTCTAAGCCTTCCCCTACCTCAAGGAGAGCTCTGGGGCTGCGGTCTGGTAGTTTCTACTCACACCTTCCCTCTCTAGTCCTCCCGGTGGGGTCCAGCCACCGCCCCGCTCTGGTGCTCCGGTGCTCTGAGAAGTTTGCCATCTCTCATATCAGATCCCTTGGCGGCTTTCTAGGCACCCCGATTCCATCTAAAAGATTTCTAAGCCACCTAGGAGTTACGTGCAAAAAACTGGGCAGCCCCTCTCAGTCTGGGAGGGGACTACCCTGGGGGTGGGGTCCTCTCTTCCCGGTTCTCTCAGACAGACTCTGAGGGGCAGACCACGCGGGAGCTTTACCAGCGCTGGCAGCGCTACGGCCGGGAGTGCGAGCAGACCCTGAAGGCGGCAGACCCTCCCTCAGGTGTGACTCCCTCGGGTGTGACTCCCTCGGGTGTGCCTCCCTCGGGTGTGACTCCCTCAGGTGTGACTCCCTCAGGTGTGACTCCCTCAGGTGTGACTCCCTCAGGTGTGACTCCCTCAGGTGTGACTCCCTCGGGTGTGACTCCCCCGGGTGTGACTCCCTCGGGTGTGACTCCCTCTGGTGTGCCTCCCTCGGGTGTGACTCCCTCGGGTGTGCCTCCCCCGGGTGTGCCTCCCCCGGGTGTGACTCCCTCGGGTGTGCCTCCCCTGGGTGTGACTCCCTCGGGTGTGACTCCCTCGGGTGTGCCTCCCTCGGGTGTGACTCCCTCGGGTGTGACTCCCTCGGGTGTGCCTCCCTCGGGTGTGACTCCCTCGGGTGTGACTCCCTCGGGTGTGCCTCCCTCGGGTGTGACTCCCTCGGGTGTGACTCCCTCGGGTGTGACTCCCTCGGGTGTGACTCCCTCGGGTGTGCCTAGAGGGCTGCGCGAGCAGCAGGGGGGGTGGGCTAAGAAGAGCCGGGCGGCCGAAGAGGAAAATCTGGCCGGCTTCCGAGGACGTTTGCGGTGGGGTTTGGCTCTGGTAGGCGGTGTGGACTCAGGTTGGATTCAGTTGAACTGAAGAATCCTAATCCCTGCACTGGGCAGGCAGAGGCAGGGGGATCTTTCTGAGTTCCAGACCAGCCTGGTCTACACACGGGGCGAGTCCCAGGGCCGGGAGGAGGGATGGGTCGTGGGCGGGGCCTGCATCGCAACGAGCGGGGTTTGGGGTGGAGTTTGACAATTAAGCTTTCGTTTTTTTTTTTTAATTTTATTTATTTCTATTTTATGTACATTAGTGTTTTGTTATGGAGGTCGGGTCTCCTGAAACTGGAGTTTTAGATAGTTGTGAGCTGCCGTGTGGGTGCTGGGAATTGAACCCAGGTCCTCTGCAAGAGCAGTCAGTGCTCTTTACCACCGAGCCATCAGCTTTCTAGTTGAGAATAATAATACAGGGTTGAGCTTTATTTTGTGGGGGGATAGGTTTGAGGTCTGGTGACAGGAGCGTGTGGCCTGTAAGGGGACAGGTGTGGAAGAAAGGGAAGCTGGGACCGGCTCCTCCAGCCTCCGCCTCTGCTGCCCTCTCCCTCAGGCACGGTCTGTAACGGGTCCTTTGATATGTACGTCTGCTGGGACTACACGGCCGCCAACACCACTGCCCAGGCACCCTGCCCCTGGTATCTGCCCTGGCACCGCCACGGTGAGTGGCTTCCCGAACTCCTCATCCACATCTGGGCAGCAAACCCTCCCGCTCCTACTCGTCCTCTGACGCTGTCTGTCAAGCCTGGTGTTTCCTAATGTCTGTGTTCCCTGGGCTCAGTCACACAATTCCCTTCCCTGTCTCGATTTATTGTGTGAATGTGTGGATGCACGCGCTATGGGGTGTGGCGATAGGAGATCAACCATGTGGGTCTCGGGGCTACCAACCACTCCACCTACCGTCTCTATCGTCCGAGTCAACTCCTCGGGGAACCAGGCTGGCCTTGAGCTCATGGCAATCCTCCTGCCTCAGCCTCCCAATTGTCAAGATTACAGCGGTGAACCACTGCATACCTCTTTCTCTAATCCCTCCCTTATGCTCCCAGTGGCTGCAGGCTACGTGTTCCGCCAGTGCGGCAGTGATGGCCAGTGGGGCCCGTGGAGAGATCACACCCAGTGTGAGAACCCGGAGAAGAACGGGGCCTTTCAGGTGAGAAGAGGTGAAGGACTCAGCTTAGGGTGTCTGGGGAAAGTTGCAAAAACACCCCAGGAAGCTTCAGGCCCAACTTGACACCTCTTTGTACTGAGCCGAACTCTGGGATGTTAGTAATTAAAATCCAGCTCAGACCTGCCTAAAGTAGAAAAAAGAAAAGGGTGCCGGTTTCCGAGATCGAAACCTGCACCATAAGGCCACACCTTCAGGCGGAGTGAGACCAAGGTGCTCAAAGGACTCGGGCTCTGTCACCGTGGCATGTTGGACCTTTCTCTGTTAGCGTCAGTTTTTCTGTGGGACATCAAGGGGCACCCCCAACTAACGTCAGACTTCTTTTTAAAGTCCTTTATTAGTGTGTGTGTGTGTGTGCATCATAGTGTGTGTGTGGAGTTGAGAGGACAACTTTGTGTAGTCCGTTCTTTCTTTCCACCCTTTCTGGGGATTCCGGGGATTGAACTCAGGTCATTAGGTTTGTGCGGAAGCCTCTACCTGCTGAGCCATTTGCCATCTTTTTTATGTGGTGATTTTTAGACAGGGTTTCTCTGGCTGTCTTGGAACTCACTCTGTAGACCAGGCTTCCCTTGAACTCACAGAGATCCACCTGCCTCTGCCTTCTGAGTGTTGGGATTAAAGCCACCACGTCTGGCTTTGTCGTCGTTATAAAAAAGGTTATTTTATTGCTTTTAATTATGTATGTGTAATCTCAGGAGCTCAAGGCAGGTAGATCTGCAAGCTCGAAACCGGCATGGTCCATGTAGTGAGCGCCAGGTCAACCAAGACTGGCGGATCTCCGTGAGTTCGAGCATAGCCTGGTCTCCAGAGTGACTGACTTCCAGGACAGCCAGGGCTACACAGAAAAATCCTGTCTCAAAATAAAAGTGTGTGTGTGAGTGTGTGTATGAGTGTGTTGTGTGAGTGTGTGTGTGTGTAAACCCATGTGTGTTAATGTGCAATCCAGCCTTGGAAGTGAAGGATGGAGTCAACCCCCCCCCCAGAAGTAAAAGGAGAAAAATGTGAGGCTTCACTTTGGGAGAACAAAGGGCGCTTTCCCCAGAGGGGGGGGGGAGGCGAAGGGGGAAGGGGGGGGGCTGCTGGGCGGCCCTGCCTCCTACTCTGGGTCAGCTGGAAGAGTTTAATTACATCTTCTCTTGCCCTGTGTCCCCACCAGGACCAAAGGCGGACCCTGGAGCGCCTTCAGGCTGTGTATACAGTGGGCTACTCCCTGTCCCTGGGCACCCTGCTGCTAGCCATGCTCGTCTTAAGCTTGTTCAGGTGTGACCCCCCAGCCCTGTGTGGTGTGGTGGGGACACGGGCCTCAGGTTGCGAACTAAGTTGGGAGATGGGGTGTCGCTAGGGGAAGGGCTGCAGGGTGGCTAGAGGGGCTCAGAGAACAGCTCTTCAGCGGCTCCCAGCCCTGTTGCCTCTCAAATCCTCCAGGCGGCTGCACTGCACGCGCAATTACATCCACATGAACTTGTTCACGTCTTTCATGCTGCGCGCAGTGGCCATCCTCACCCGAGACCGGCTGCTGCCTACGCTGGGTCCCTACCTCGGGGGCCAGACTCTCAGCCTGCGGAATCAGGTACTCCATCTCCTTCTTCCTGGGACCAAGAAGTTCTTCCCCATCTATTTCCATGCCTGTCCTCATCGCTACATACTGAGGGCATAGGGGCAGGATGGAAGGAAGGAAGTGATGAGGGGGATTTGGAAGCTACCAGTTCATCCCTGGATATGGGAGGCCAGACACAGGGGTGTGAGCAGATTGTAAAAATCGGACGATAGTAACTGTTGCGGGAGGTGTGAGGTAGAGCACAGTAATAGAATACCTGGCCCAGGACTGGGGAAATGAAAAGGAAGATTAAGAGCCATTCAGGACTGGAGAGATGGCTCAGTGGTTAAGAGCACCGACCACCCTTGCAGAGAACCCTGGTGTGATTGCCAGCACCCACATGGCAGTTCATAACCACCGGTAGCTCCAGTTCTAGGGCATCCGACGTCCTCTTCTGACCAGCATGCGATGCACAGAGATGTATGCAGGCAAAACACATCTACACACTAAACAGCATCAACAAAAAGGCCATCTAGATGGCTCAATGCATAAAGGCACTGGCTAACTTGAGTTCAAACCCCAGAACCCACACAGTGGACAAAGAGAAGCAACTCCCGAAAGGTCTCTTGTCTTTGTGTGCCTATGGTCACATAGCTTGGCATTTATTTTTTTTTTGGGGGGGAAGGGGGGTTGCGACAGGGTTTCTGTGTGTAGCCCTGGCTGTCCTGTAACTCAGTCTGTAGACCAGGCTGGCCTCTGCGTCCCTAGTGCTGGGATGCCACCACATACATGCATCATGTATGTATGTGCACCACGTGCATGTCTGGTGCCCCCAGAGGCCAGAAGAGCATGCCAGGTTCCCCTGGATCTGGAGTTACAGACAGTTGTCAGCTGCAGAGTGGGTGCTTGGAATTGAACCTGGGTCCTCTAGAAGAGCAGCCAGTGCTCTTCACTGCTGAGTTTCCTCTTCAGTCCCAGGAGTTCAGTTCTAAAGAGCGAGTGTGACAAAGGCTACTAAGGGTACTCCACTGTGGTGACAAAACAGAATAAGCCAGTAGCTAAGAGGAAAAGTGAATATGGTGGCATAGACTATCAGCTGGGGACCCAGTAAAACATGTTAAAGCAGGAAAGAGATGGAAGTGAGCCCTGTCTGGTCGGGAAGTCCTGTAGTCCCAGTTATGTGGAAATCCGAGCAGAATTGACATTTTAAGACCCGGTTGGGCTATGGAGCAAGCTCAAGGACAGGCTGGACAATTTAGTGAGACCCTGACTCAAAGAGAAGAGGATTAGAGTGTAACTCAGTGGTAGAGCCCCTGCCTAGAATCCCCCAGTGAGGGGCTGGAGGCGTGGCTCAGTGGTAGAGCTCCTGCCTAGAATCCCCCAGTGAGGGGCTGGGGGCGTGGCCCAGTGGTGGAGCAAGGAGGAACCCCCGGGTTCAAGCCCTACTACCACATACACAAAGGAATAAACACAAATAATAAAATAGACAAGGCTGCTGGGGAAAGGCCTGCGGATACCTCCGTGTCTTGACGTCCCTCATCCGATGGCTGCCTAGGCCCTAGCTGCCTGCCGCACAGCCCAGATCGTGACCCAGTACTGCGTGGGTGCCAACTACACCTGGCTGCTGGTAGAGGGTGTGTACCTGCACCATCTGCTGGTGATCGTGGGAGGCTCGGAAAAGGGCCACTTCCGCTGCTTCCTGCTTCTTGGCTGGGGTGAGCCCTGACTCCGCGCCCTCCCACCCTCTGCCCAGCCCAGTGCGCCTCGGCTCCCCCAATGCCCCGCCGATCCGCGTTGCCTCCCCTCCCACCCCCTCGCTGAGGAAGTCCGCGGGTCTTGGGCCTGGAAGGGGCTCGTGTGCACGCTGACAGCTGCGGCGGGGTGGGGGGCGGGGACCGGGGTCTGCACAGGGGCCCCCGCGCTTTTTGTCATTCCTTGGGTGATCGTCAGGTACCTGTTGGAGAACACGCAGTGAGTTCCGGGGTCTGGGGGCGGGGCCTGGGTTGGGGGGGCGGAGCGATGTGGAATCTGGGCGGAGAATGTAGGCGGGGTCTAAAGGGACCAGGAGCTGGGAAAGGTGCCTTCTGGAAAGCAGGGTGGGTGGGTCTTAAAGGAATTCGGTGGGCCTTAAAGAGGGTGGACCTGGCGAGGGACCCTGCCTGACTGGGTGTGGCTGCGGGGTGGGGGCAATGGTGTGTCTCAGTTTTACCCTACCTCCTCCAGGTGCTGGGAGCGCAACGAAGTCAAAGCCATTTGGTGGATCATTCGCACCCCGATCCTAGTAACCATCTTGGTAGGGCCGGCCTCACCTCCTCCAGGCTGTGCTCAGGGATTTCTCATTCTGGGGAAGTGGAGCGCCGACCTCCCGTCCCTCCCCAGAACCGTACAGCTTCTGGCTCAGTCTCTCTCTCCTCACAGATCAATTTCTTCATCTTCATCCGCATCCTTGGCATCCTTGTGTCAAAGCTGAGGACACGGCAGATGCGCTGCCCCGACTACCGACTAAGGTGAGGGCCCTGCTGGGGACGCTGATGGGCCGGGTTCAGGGGCAGGGACATGGGGACCACCATCACACTCTTTTCCCAGGCTGGCTCGTTCCACGCTGACTCTGGTGCCTCTGCTGGGTGTTCACGAGGTGGTGTTTGCGCCTGTGACGGAGGAACAGGCTGAAGGCACCCTGCGCTTCGTCAAACTGGCCTTTGAAATCTTCCTAAGTTCCTTCCAGGTGCTCAGACGGGGTGCACGGGTTCCACCCTCCCACCTCGGGCACTACTGTCATCCATCCCAGCAGCCACTGACCGGAGTGCACCCGTGGGGTTCCATTCATACGTGCATGCATAGGACAGAACATAGCTAGTTAGGGTTGGAGGAGCAGGCCGTGGGGATGGTGGTAGAAGTTCCCCAGCATTACCTGCGGGTGAGGAGCAAGGACTGTAGGGTGGACTGAGCTGGGGCAGAGTTACTTTCTGGAACTTGCCAACTTCCTGGCTTCCTTCACCTTTGTGTGAGGCTAGAGCGAGACAAGCCTCACGTGCAGAATCAAAGAAAGTAGGCCGTTCCAAAATGGGAGGTCAATGCTGACGCTACTTTGCCCTGATAGACCCCATTGAGCCCCGGCCTTCCCCTCACTGAAACCGGCTTGGTACCAATCTCCCTTGGGAGGATGTGCACTCATTAAAAGAAGCGAGAGCAGATGAAGCGCTCATGTACCGAGCTACAGCCAGGAGCCACATGGTTGGCTGGCTCCCCATTCTGTGGGATACACGAGGAGAAACACCCTATGTAAACAGCCAGTCACACGTGCAGAGCAATGATCCAGAATGAGGATCCCTGAGGCCAGAGGCTAGCTACTGGGATGGAGGGAGGCGAGGGCGCCTGAAACAGCAGAGCTCCAGGCAGGAGCAGAAAAATAAGAGAGGCCAATTCCCTGAGCACAGCTTCAATTTGCCCCCCCCAAGAAGAGGTATGTGATTTTAATAAGATTTTGATAGGACTGTAGAAAATCATGAGGAATGTCTTTTTTGTTTGTTTGGTTGATTTTGCTGTTGTTGTTGTTGTTTTGTTTTCTTTCTTTCTTTTTTTCTTTTTGGAGACAGGGTTTCTCTGTGTAGCCCTAGCTGTCTGAGAACTCACTCAGTAGACCAGTCTGGCCTCAAACTCAGAGATCTGCCAGGCTCTTTTTCCCGAGTGGTGGGATTAAAGGCATGTGCCAGAATAAGGAATCTCTTTTTTGTTTTAAAGGATTTTTAAATTTATTTGCATATTTTATGTATATGAGTCCTCTATTTGCATGTATGCCTGTATGCTATAAGATGGCACCAGATCCCATTAGAGATGGTTGTGAGCCACCATGTGGTTGCTTGGAATTGAACTCAGGGCCCCCCCATATAGAATACCTTAATCAACTGAAGCCAGGCATGGGACTCAAACCTGTAATCTGCCTCCAGCTGGCCAAGCATGTGTTCCATTCCTGAGCAACCCTCAAGCCCCATAATTAATTAAAATCTTTTTATTAGTTTTTGGGCATTGGTGTTTTAACTACACGTGTCGGTGCACACATGCATGCAGTGCCCGCAGAGGTCAGAAGAGGCGACTGACTAATTTCAGATGGTTGTGGACCTGGATCACATGTGGGTGCTGGGAATTGAACCTGCATCCTCTGGAAGAGCAGCAAGCACTCTTAACGGCTGAGCCATCTCTGCAGCCCTAATTAATGAACTAATTTTTTTTGAGACAGGGTCTCACCATGTAGTCCTGGATGGCTATTGAACTCTGTGTAGATCAGGGTGGTCTCAGACTCACAGGGTGGTCTGCCTCTGCCTCTCGGTGCTGGAATTAAAGGCGTGCACCACCACACCTGGCTAAGCACTACATCTTGCTATCCTGGAACTCACTCTTTACACAACCAGGCTAGCCCCGAACTAACAGAGATCCGCCTGCCTCTGCCTCCCAAGTGCTGGGGTTAAAGGCGTGCACTACCACCGCCAGGCTCTGCACTACATCTTTTTTTTTTACACGCAAATACCTGAATTCTTCCCACCACCAGCTTCGTTTTTATGGAGAAACCGGGGCACAGTGTGGTTCCCTGGGCGGGGCACCGCAGGGAGCCGGGAGCCAATGAGCAGGTTCCCTCAGCACCTAGGACCGGGGCGGCCACAGCCACTTTGGGGCTGGGAACAACTCAGTCTCTCCTCTTCTGGCAGGGCTTTCTGGTGAGCGTGCTTTACTGCTTCATCAACAAAGAGGTAGGAGAGGCCGGCCTGCTCGCGCCCCCTGGTGGCCACGCCGGGAACGGCGCCGCCCTGAGCGCCCCGCGTTGCAGGTGCAGTCGGAGATCCGCAGGGGCTGGCGCCACCGCATCCTGCGTCCCAGCCTCCGGGATGAGCGCCCCCGCCCGCGCATGGAGCTCAGCCCCCCGGCCTTGCCCTCGTGTTCTGCACTCCGGGAGGGCCCCATCGACCGCACCTTGCCCTCCTCCGGGTCGCTGCACGTACCTGGAGAGGAAGTCTTGGAAAGTTACTGCTAGGTAATGGGACTCCTGGGTCTGTACAGTTAACATGAATTGAGTGCCTACTGAGTGCCAGCCCCGGTGTGGGGAATGCTGGGGAAACGGGGAGAAGGAAGACGAGGTCCCCACGTGTATATACTTGTTGTGGAATGGCTTATGAAAAGAATTGGGATGTCCAGGGCGACTGACAGGGAGGCCACTTGTGAAGATTTGACGCTTTTAATCCATCTCTGAAAGAAGCAGAGATAACTTGAAGAGCTGGTGGAGGACGAGGTTCCAGGCAGATGGAGTAGCATGTGGAAAGGCCCTGGGAACGGGAAAGATGGAGGAGGGCTTCCAGGGCTCGACTGGGAAGAGCCAGGGCCTTCAGATGGGGAAGTGATCAGGGGTGCAGAAACTGGGATTTTAGCACAGGTGCACTGAAAATCTTATTTTCACTTCGTGTATGACTGTTTTGCCTGCATTGATGTATGTGCACCGCATGTACGAAGGACTTACGTTTGCCTGAAGGGCAGAAGATCCCCTGGGACTGGACGTGTCAGCCTCACGCGGGTGGGGTGAACTGAACTCCATCTTTCCAGCCCAGAATTCAGCAGGGGCGTCTGTCTCCTGCTCCACCAGGACAGATGTGACCTGGGAGCTCAGTGACAGGAATGCAGGCGGCTGGACCAGGAGAGAGGCCACGGAGGGGTGAGGGAGATTTGCTGATGGATGCCAGCAGAGGGATCAAAGGAGGCTGCGGTGACAAAAGCTGGAGATCAAAGGGCTCTTTGTTTGGGGTGGGGGTGCACAGAAGTTAGGCTGTGGGAGACTGGGGGGGGGGGGTGAGTATTAGGTGAAGGCTGGCCGCAGCAGAGCAAGAGCGGCCTGGTTAAACTTGGAGCAGGCCTCTGCCGAGCCCTGCTGAATCCCGGCATCCAGAACCACCGCTGGCCGTTAGGGCACGCCCTTGCCCCTCCCAGAGAGGACTGGGAGAAATCTGGGGATGCAGTCTCACTGTGGCTGGTCCGCCTGCATATACACAAGACTCCTCAATTCGTAGGGGGTGCTGTGCTTCCCCCCAGAAAGCCTCGCCCCGTAGCTGGCATTGCACTGCACACCTCAGGCTTTGGCTTCTGTGGCGTGGAGGCCCTGGAAAAGAAGCCTGAGAATCAGTTGCTTCTTTATGCGGTGGGAGGTGAAGGTCAAGCTGGGTGAGTGGGAGGGAGTCAGCTGGACCGACCTGAAGCCGCAAGCAAACATGAACATTATGTTGCCACTGTGCCCTTCCCTAAGAGAATCTTGGTCGGCAACAAATAAAGCTGTGTGTGTGAACCTGCTGATCCTCTAGGAAGGCAACACAGAAGACGCAGAGCTGGGCAAGGGATGGGGCACCTGTAGTCAACCTCAGCGCTGGGGAGGTGGTGGTGGGAGGAGGTTGAGTTGGAGGTCGTCTTGATGGGAAGCAAGTTGGATGTTTAAACTATGTGAGACCTTGTCTCAAATAAACAGTAAAAGTAATGGACCAGCTTAGTTCATTTCTTAGCTGGGCTACTGTATCCGGTCCCCAAATCCCCAGCTTGCCTGCACTGCGCCCTCTTCTGGGGCCTGTATGTTCAGGCTGCCCCTGACGCCGTGCACTCAATCATCACTCGCGCACAGCTGGATCCATCACAGCTGGCTGAGGAAAGGATTATTCAAAAGCAACCAAAGGCACCAGCAGGACTGTGGCATGTTCAAAGCCAACCTTGTCTACTAAGTTTCAGGATAGTCAGGGCTAAAGTGAGATCATATCCTTCCCCCCAAAATAATCTGGTCAGAAGGTAGCGATGTATACCTGTAATCCCACGGTCTAGAAGCTGAGGCAGGAGCATCGATGCAACCTGAGGCCAGCTTAGGCTATCAAAACCAGAAAGGGCCAGGAGGGATGGCTCAGTGGACCAGGTGCTGGCAGCAGTCTGAAGGCTGCAGCTCCAACTCCTAGTACCCACATATGTGGGGGAGTGGTTGAGGAAGCTTCCCATGTGAGCCTGGGCCTCCATACATACAAATGTGTGCCCATGGGAACATGCGCGCGCACACACATGTACACACACACTCCTACCACCATGTGCATTGAAAAGAGAAAGCTACATAAAAGCACCACTTGGGAAAGCCAGGTGGCCAGGACTGCAACCTTTGCTGGGGTGGCAGGGCAGGACTGGAGCCTGAGCCTGTGACATCAAGGCTTGAGCCTGCTCCCCAGTGGAAGAACCAGGCTTCAGGGCAGCTATGTAGACGGAGATTGCCCACCAGCTTCGCTGCATGGCCTGATTTTTTAATTACTATTTTGTTTTCTGACACAGGGTCTCTCAGTGTAGTACCCTTGCAAGGGCAGGCAAGACCATGGGAAACAAGACAACAAAAATCGCAGGGTTTTATTTCCATCCCATTGGGCGGGACCAGGCGGGACCAGGCGGGGCGGGGAGCAGGCTCTCATGGAGGGAAGAGGCCTCTGCTCTATTTGCCGGCGATGAGCGGGTTCCGCAGCACCACAATGACTGAGTCCCCGCGCAGGAACATCTTGGAAATGTAGCGGTCCTTGTTGACAGGCTTGGACTTCTTCTTGCCCTTGCCACTCTTGGGGACCTCCGTCCACATCTCCTTCACATTCTCCAGCACCATGTTGCAATGCCTGGTGGGAAAAGCTGGGGTGAGCCCTCCACAGCAGACAGGGAGAAAGGCTCGTGCTCCAGGATGGGGGTGGGCCAGTGCCATCTCAGCCCATCCTCCCCCCCCCCTTGGGTTTTCAAGACAGGGTTTCTTTGTAGAATGTCCTGGAACTCGCTCTGTAGACCAGGCGGGTCTCTGCCTCCAGAGCACTGGGATTAAAGGTGTGCGCCGCTGCCGCCATCACCTGACTGGAACGCAGTTATTTCTGAAGCAAGGCCCTGGCACAGCAAAGGCAACCAAAATGGCCCCACTTCTACCATCAAATCTAAGTACTCAGGGAAGCAGCCGAAGAGGGTCCCTGCTCCCTCCACACCCAGAGGTGCTAGGGATAGGCATGGCTCCCAACATGTGCACCCCAGAGCTGCTCTGTCCTGCCCCCATGGCACCAGGCGGCCATGTGTTTACACTTGGGTTAGTTCATTCCAGAAATGCTTGCTTGGGGCCAGTGAATGTGAACAAAGGACAATGGCAGACATGTATGAGTAGATCATAAAGCAACTCACTACCTTCCATGCTAACTACAACAATGAGCCAGGCCTGATGCTATATTCCGTGCCTATAATCCTAGCACATGGGATAGACGTGTAAGAAAGACAAATTTAAGCTGGGCAGAAGTTGTGTGCACACATAATTCCAGCACTCGGGAGGCAGAGGCAGGCGCATCTTTGAGTTGGAGGCCAGCCTGGTCTACAGAGCGAGTTCCAGGACAGCCGGGGCTACACAGAGAGACCCTGTCTCAAAACACAACAACAAAAGCACCCACCACTTATTTTTTTTAATCTTCCGAGGCTGGCCTCTAAGTCGTGGTGATCCTTCTGAGTGCCGAGATTAAAGGTGTGGGCTGCCATGTCCAGCCAGCCCATCATCCTGATGCTTCTGGTATAACCCTCCCTTCAGGCCCCTCTGGCCCAGCCCTTGCCAAGGAAGCACTCACCTATCGAAGGCCTTCACCCGTCCCAGGAGCTTCTTGTTGTTGCGACAGTTGATGAGCACCTGCGTGTTGTTCTTGACTGACTGTGTGAGCACCGACAGGGGGCCCGTGTTGAATTCCTCCTCCTCCCGCTTCTGTAGCTCTTCTGGGGTCATCTCACTCTTGGGTTTATTGAGGAGACTCCTGAACAGAGAACCCATGGGTGAGCTTGGAAGTGTGAGCACCAAAGCCCACCTGGCCCCCAAACGCCCTCCCTCGCTCAGACTTTCCTGGAGGTAGGAGAGACATTTTCTATTTAGCCAGCACCAAACCTCTTCCGCTGACCGCGTTCCCCATATCGTCACTGATGGCAACTCTAGTCAGTGGGTTCCCTAAGCCAGAACTCTGTTTAACTGATTTGTTTTGGAGACAGGATCTCATATAGCTGAGGCTTGCCTTGAACTTGCTATGTAACTGAGGATATAACTTCCATTTTCAGTTCTCCTGAGTCCACCTCCCAAGTTCTGGGAGTACAGGAGTTCACCATCAAGCCTGGCACTCGATTCTCCTGCCCTCGAGTCTCGTCATCATCTGCCTGTACAATAATATATCCAGAGCCTGGCTATTTCTGTCCATGGACTAAACTTCCATTGCCCGCCACCCCCACAACAATGTCTCACTGTGTAACCTGGCTGGCCTCTGCCCCCAGATGGCTGGGATTACAGGCAAGCGCCCAGTCCCCAAGGTAGCCGTGCACTGTCCCCTGAGCCATAACTCCAGCCCAAGTGCCACACTTTCAGCCTTTTTTGTGCTAGCGACTCAATTTCTTCGTTCACACTCTCTGTCGTCTAACACACTGTACATGCCCGTGCCTTACTCTACGGTCTTCCTACCGCATTCCTTTTACAAGCCTCTGTGAGAAATTTTATAAGCAGTCTGTGTAATATCTGCTCAATGAATAAATACACCGAAGCATCGCAGTAGCTTGCTACTCTCCGACAGTCTCGAATTAGGTCGAAAACCTGCCTGTTCGCTAATTTATCCTGGTTAAGTCTCTCATTATTATTTTTTTTTTCTAGAGAGTCTTTCACTATTTTTAACAGAGTTCCCTGCCCCGCCAAGTTCTTTATCCTTTAAGACCACTCCCATTTAAAATTGCTGTTACTGTTGGAAACGGTCTCGCTGCGAAGCCCAAGGCTGGGCATGAACTCGCGATCCTCCTGCCTCAGCTTCTCGAGGCCTGAGACTCTAGGCATGGACCACCCAGGCTCAGCTTTGCTCTTACGGTTCATCTTCTCAAGACTCAGTACCTAGGAGCGTCCCACGCCCGTTAGGAAGTAACGCTGTCCCGCTCCGGAACTCATGATCCGTCCAAGGAAGGCCCCATCCATGCACGTTCTCAAACACTATTCTATTCTTGCTTGAGGAACTCTGGCCCCAGCTACGAGCACCCCGGTTCAACAGTCAATCTGCTGACCCGCGCCCCCACCGCGCCCCCACCCCCAGGAGCGCAGCCCGGCCTCACATGGTGGAGGTTTCGTTCGCAGATCACTCCCGCCTCCGCCGCGTTGCTGCAGCCTCCGGGGTAGAGCGAGTGGAAGGTGGGACTTCCGCCTCCCGCGGATCGCTTCCGTCGGCGCCTGCGCAACCCACACCCGCGGGGGGGCGTGTCACGTTGCCATAGCGACCCATCGGCTGCGCTCTGCCGTAGAAAATGCCTAGAGGAGGATTCGGGGTCAGTAGGGATGACAGTGTGGGTGGGGGCGTCTCTGCCGGCGGCCAGGAGAGGAAAATACGAGGGGGCCTGACGACTGAACTCCCCGTCCCGGTGGAAGCAGGGGAGCGGAGCCCCGTTTCCAAACGCGCGCCCACGGTCTCCTTTGGGGGCGTGGTCTCGGGCCAGCCAATCCGCTCCTGGCTTTAGGGGTGGGTGCCGCCCGCTCCTCCTTGAGTGACAGTTCCCGGCTGTGTTTCTTAGGCGACGTTTTGAGCGCCGCGGCCCCGGCGGGAGCCGTTTCGCACCGTCAGACGCAACTCATTGGCTGCTCTTCTTCCGTGGGGCCGGGCCCTGAGTTTGCTGCGCTGCCTCTTGGCTTGTTCGACGTGGAGGAGAGCCAATAGCAATCACCTGGGGGTGGGGACGTTGCAGCCACTCTCCTTCCTTATTGGTTTTTGTAATCTACGAGAGGAGGATCTTGGCCTAAACTCAAACCACAGTCCGGTGCTTCGTCTCCGGGCGAAGCTGCCATGAGTCCCGGGAGCCGCGGGCGGCCCCGGCAGCGGCTCGGGGATCGGGGCCTCATGCAGCCGCCCTCACTTTCCAAGCGCCGCCTGCTGCCGCGAGGGCAGCTCCTGCCTCTACTGCTGTTGGCTCTGGCCCTGGGCTTGGCTTTCTTCATCGTCTGGAACGGCTGGAGCTCCGGGGTTCAGGAGCTGTCACGGAGCCGGGATCTGCGGGTGAGACCTGGCTGGGGCCCCGGTACTCCGTCATTCCTCTACTTCCTTTCGTGTAGACGCTAAGATTAACGTGGCTGTATCGTACGGCCCTTGCCTCCGGTGTCATCTCTTTCTCTCCATCATTTAAGCATATGCCCCTTCCCAAACAGGCTTGTTTTGTAACAGCCCGTTCTGAAGATGAAGGGTCAGCATAGTAACATTAGTAGATCTGAGTTCTACGCCCCAAATCATCTATTTAGAAGATTTTCGACAGCATTGTAGTAGGATGGACCAGATTTGCTTTGAAGACTTCCTCCTAATCTAGGATATATGGATATATCCTCCAAGCCTTTGATGCATCACCAAGAGGGCTCCTAGCGGCCAACAGCGTCCAGGAGAGGGTGGGTATGGGGGTGTCTTCATTTTTCTTTTCCCTACCCCATTTCCCAACCAAGGCCCCGCTGATTGGAAGCTTTCCAGAAGCCAAGCTGCGGAGGGTAGTAGGACAGCTGGACCCTCAGCGTCTCTGGGGGACTTTCCTGCGTCCCCTGATGATTGTGCGGCCCCCGGGTAGCCCTGGCAATCTCCAAGTGAGAAAGGTAAAGGGTCTTACTTCCAATCCCTAAACCCCTTTCCACAGTCTGTCAGGAAATGGAGTTCAGGCATCTAAGATCCCGGAACAGCCAGGAGCCAGACTGGGGCTCTGATGGTAGGGAGGTGTATGAACCAGACTCTAGATTCTCACAGTGGTGCACACGTCCCAAACTACACAACCCCGCCAAAAGCTTACTTTATACTAAGCACTGCAATGTATTGTTTTGTGAGGTCGGAACCAATGTGATCCCTGCTGTACAGATGGGGAGTTTAAAGCCTAGGGGAGTATTTACATTTTGTCCAAATCCCACAGCTACGTGAAGATGGAATCCAAGAAGGCTGGCTTCATAATGGGTGGTGTAGCATTGCTTTGTTGCCATTTAGATACTGTATTTAGGGTCTTCCTTAGTTGGTCTAGTTTTCTTAACCCCTCTGGGACTCAGCTTCCTCACCTGCAGAATGGGGACGCGTTCACTGACATTGTTGACTTCATAGCGATCCTAGAACAGGCTTGGCACATATATCGAGAGCTTTTTAAGAGGAAGTCAGAGCATGTCTCAACAGGAGAGTACTCGCTTAGAATTCACCACTGTGAGGTTCGGGGTGCTCAATGGTAGAAGACGGGCCTAGCATCCAGCATTGTGGAACCGTGGCTGTGTAAGCAGCATGCAGGAAGTCCTGAGTCAACCCTCAGCACCATGGAGAGAGAGAGAGCCAGACTGAGGGGGGAAGTAGAGCTGGAATGCCACTGTAGATGTGATTTTGGAGGAGAGAGAACATTACCACAGCTGGGGTGGTGGTGGTGACCTGGGTCTATAATTCTTTCAGGAAACAGAAGCATGATCTGGGGTTCTAGGGCAGACAGTTGGAGGCTAGCCCGAACTATGTAGTGAGCCCTAAGTTTTGTTGCTATCAAGAGGTGTGGTAGTTGGGCGGTGGCGGTGCACGCATCTTTGATCCCAGCAGGCAGAGGCAAGCGGATCTCTGTGAGTTTGAGGTCAGCCTGGTCTACAAAGCCAGTTCCAGGACAGGCTCCAAAGCTGCACAGAGAAACCCTGTCCTGGGAGAAAAAAAAAAAAAAAAAGAGAGGTGTGGTTCCCCCACATCAGGCGCGGAGTTGTTCCTCAGCAGAAGTATGTGTCAAGGGAACAGCCTAATCCAAAGTGGGACTCTTCTAGTCACCTAGACTGCTCTGCCAGGCTCTGGTCACAAGACCCTTCTCCCCGCCTCCTCCCCAGTCCCTGTCCACCCTCCTACCTCTCTCTTGACACTAGTTCCTGGAGGCCACGTTGCGGTCCCTATCAGCAGGCTGGCACGTGGAACTGGACCCTTTCACAGCCTCAACACCCTTGGGGCCACTGGACTTCGGGAACGTGGTGGCCACACTTGACCCAGGAGCGGCCCGTCACCTCACCCTGGCCTGCCATTATGACTCTAAGTTCTTCCCTCCTGGGTCACCCCCGTTTGTGGGGGCCACGGATTCAGCTGTGCCCTGTGCCCTGCTTCTGGAACTGGCCCAGGCCTTTGACAGGATGCTGAGCAGAGTCAAGCAGCAGGTGAGAGCTGGGGAGGGTTGCCTGCCCCTAGGCCACATCCTTACATGCTTCTGTCATTCTTTCCTTTTTTGAGATAGGGTTTCTCTAGAGTGTAGCCTAAGCTAGCCTTGAACCCAGCCATTCTTCTGCATAACCCTCCCAAGAAGTGGGGTGGCAACCTCCAACCCCCGCTGTCATCTTTGTTTTCCAACAAATGCTCTATGCACTGAAACACAGGGGCTTTTTTCTCCCCAGCCAGGTCTCACAGAGGCCACACTAGCACCAAACTCAGGGATGAACTTGAATTTCGGATCCTTTGCCTCCATCTCCCGAGTGCTGGCATCACAGTCAAATATATATAATATATATATATGTATGTATGTATGTGTATATGTATATGCATGCATGTCTTAGTCTGGGTTTTTTCTATTGCTGTGAGGAGACACCATGGTCATGACAACTCTTGTAAAGGAAAACATTTAGGGTTAGCCCATTTTTATCATCACGGTGGGTGACATGGTGGCATCTGAGTAGACAGGCCCTGGAGAAGGAGCTGAGAGCTCTACATCTTGATCGGCAGGCAGCAGGAAGTGAACTATGTGCCATGCTGAGGGTAGCTTGAGCGTAGGAGACCTCAAAGCCCGCCCACAACTCTCCCCAAAAGGCCATGCCTACCCCAACGAAGCCACACCTCCACTCCCCGTGGGGGCCGTTTTCTTTCCAATCGCCACCCCCACCCCCAGAGGGTACCAGAACTGGGGTATTGCTGCGATAGCCCTGACCATGCTTTTGGGGCTTTGGAAAGTAGTGGAACACTTTAAGTGCTGCTTCATGGGCCACGGTAAGAGGAGCACAGAAGACCGTGGCACTGAACATGATCTGCTGAACTGTGGGAGCTTGGCTCAAGAGGACACCACGAGATGCACTCTGTCAGTTTAGTAGTTCCATCATCACTCCGCTCTAGCCACACCCCTTTCTGTGCACCCCTCCAATCCACAGGCTCTATCTTCACCCCATTAACATTTGTTGTTTGCCCTACACAGATCATGTTTTTCTCAGATAAGCCCCCACCCTGTGGCTTTCCAACAATCTTTATTTCACCAAGAAACCTTTCAGATCACCCCCAAATATCTTCCTGCCACTGTCCGTTCTTTATGTTACTGAAGACTCGTTTTCTCCAATCACAGTATTTCCCATGGCCACACGGACCTGGCTTCTTCTGCTTCCTGTCATGACTCCCAGAGTCAGAATAAAATGGGGCCTCAGTAGAATCTGTGGACTGATTGAGAACACAAATTTCATTATGTTTCTCCCCCCCTCTAGCCCCTCCTCTGGCTCCCCAGTGCCCCTGTAACATAACAAAGCCTGTAATTTGTGGATTTTGCTAATTCTCCTGGTTGCCTGTCACACCCCTCTGGCCCCAGCTCTGGTCCAGGCTGTCCCCTTGCCTGGGAACACTGTTGCCTCTCTGCCAGGCCAGCTCTCCTTCATCAACTCACCTTCAATGCAAACACCCCTGTCTAATAGGACCAGTGGGCCTGCAGGCCAGATCATCCTGCAGCCAGACTCCCGTGCCATCAGAAACTAGACCTTCACTGCACCGTTATTCTCTTTTGGGTGGGTCTGTCTGTCTTTCTGTCTTGCCCAACTGGGCTTAACTAATAACAAGAGCTGACTAATTCAGTTCTTACACACTTGGGCTCAAATGTGATCCTGTGAATGGGACGATTAACCCCATTCACAGATGAAGAAATGGAGCCAACCCTAGTGGCACAGGCCTGTAATCCCAGCTCCTCCAGACATGGAGGCTTGAGGAGTAGAAGTTCAAAGCCAGCCAGGGCTGCAGAGTGAGCTCAAGGATAGCCTGGGCAATTTGGTGAAACCCTGCCCCAAAAGAGAGGGCTGGGGTTGTGGCTCAGGGATACAGTGCATGTCTGTCTAGCAAATGGGGGGGGAGGGGGGTAAAGATGGGCATTATGCTACACACCTGTAATCCCACGGAGGGAATCATGAGGCTGGAAGTTCTGGGCCAGCTTGGGCTATGCTAGAGTTTACCTCAAAACGGAACAAATTTCCCGTATCTGAACCCATCTGGTTCAGCCTGTGACTTCTGTTACCACATTGCATGAAGGAGGCCACTTGGTCTGCCCCATCCCAGCTGTGCAAATAGGAAGGGAGGGCATGGGGGTGGGCCGATGCCGAGGGTTGGCACTGATTTGGTGGCCTGTTTCCACAGGCAGCACCGGTGACCCTGCAGCTGCTCTTCTTGGATGGGGAGGAGGCGCTGAAGGCGTGGGGACCGAGGGACTCCCTGTATGGCGCCCGGCACTTAGCTCAGATCATGGAGTCTACACCGCACAGCCCCGGCCCCACTAGGATCCAGGCTATTGTAAGATCCATTCCTCTGGGCTCTGGAGCAGGGGGCTGGGAGGGGAAGGAGGGTGCAGTCAGTAGAACAGACTCAGCAGACTCCAGCCCTGGCCTCCTTCCCCCAGGAGCTCTTTGTCCTTCTTGACCTTCTGGGAGCGCCCAGCCCAATGTTCTTCAGTCACTTCCCCCGCACAGCCCGCTGGTTCCAACGGCTGAGGAGCATCGGTAAGGAGGGCAGGCCAAGGCCAAGGGTAGGACCAGCAACTGACCTCTGTGTGCTCATCTAGCCTTCCTTCCCCGTCTCTGGGCTCAAAACTAGGCAAGAAACAATCCTGTGACGGTGGAGTGTAGTGGCTGTGACAGCAGGACTCTGTGTGACACTGGCCCACCACTGGGTGTGCCTGGGCAAGACACTTCATCTCTCTAAGCCTCTATTTCTTTTTATTTTTGTGGTTTTTCAAGACTGGACTTCTTTCTCTGTGTAGCCCTGGCTGTCCTGGAACTAGCTCTATAGACCAGGCTGGCCTCGAACTCAGAGATCCGCCTGCCTCTGCCTCCCAAATTCTGGGATTAAAGGCGTGCCCAGCTAAGCCTCTGTTCCTTATGTAAAGTAAGCATGGTGGTAATGGTAACCGGGGAGTAGTTGTCATCATGGTGGTGCATGCCTGAAATCTCAACATTCAGGAAGCTGAGGCGAGGAGATTGCAAGTTCAAAGCTATGCTGGGCTACATAGTGAGTCCCATGCTAGAATGAGCTGCCTGGTGGTGTTCACCTGTATCCCAGCACTTGGGAGGCTGAGGCAAGAGGACTGAATTCTAGGCAAGTCTGGGCGATGAAGCAAGACCTTATCTGAAAATAAATAACAGCCTACGGTGGCGCTGCATGCCTGTCATTTCAGTACTGGGGAGGTAGATGTAGGGCAGGAGGATCAAGGGTCATCCTTAGCACACAGAGTTTGAGGCTAGACCGCAGGTACATGACAGTCCATCTCTCAAATTGTCAAAATAAATGAAGAGTTAAATTAAGAAACTAGCTCGGTGGGTAAGGGTGCATGCCTCAAAAGCCTGGCAGCCAGAGTTAGTTTCCAGAACCCATGTAAAGGTGGAGGGAGAAGGTGGGCATTGGTGGTGCATACCTTTAATCCCAGCACTGGGGAGGCAGAGGGAGGCGGATCTCTGTGAGTTCAAGACCAGCCTGGTCTATAGAGCGAGTTCCAGGACAGACTGCAAAGCAATACAGAGAAACCCTGTCTCGAAAAAACAAGGCAAACAGACAAACAACAACAATAAAAAAAAAGATGGAGAAAACTGACTCCTGCACACCCCCTCCACATGCACACCCCTCCCAGGCACACGCAAACAAGAAACAGGCATCTCTCTCCCAGACAAGGAGATTAAATGACACTAGCAATAGGAATATAAAAAGAAGCATGGTGCTGGAGAGATGGCTCACCAGCTAACAGCACAGTACTGGGTACCCTTCCCGAGGACCTGGGTTTGAGTCCCAGCACGCACGCACGCACGCACGCAGGCACGCACCGCAGCTCCCGACTGTAACTCTAGCTCTAGGGGGTCTGTCGCCCTCTCTGGCCTCCGCAGGCGCTGCATGTGTGGGATGCACACATGTATATGTTGGTTTTGGGGTGATAACCCTGTCTGCTGACTAATCCCGCTTTCCAATCCTGCCTCTTTAGAAAAGCGCCTTCACCGTCTGAACCTACTGCAGGCTCACCCACAGGAAGTGATGTACTTCCAACCCGGGGAGCCCCCCAGCACTGTGGAAGATGATCACATCCCCTTCCTCCGAAGAGGTACTTTCTGGGACCAGGGGTATAAGGAAGCCTCCTCAGGGCTAGGGGCTGCTGGCAAGTGCTCAGTCTTGATTAATCTTCATCTGTAAAATGGGGAGAATGGAGGGCATCATATGTGCAAATACACGGCACAGTCAGACGCGTAGCTGAGCCCAGTGCACAGCAAGCCAAAAACGAGCCTCTTGCATGCCAGGCAAGCACTATTGTACTTTTCTTTGACTCCTCCAGGCAGGCAAGGAACTGGGTGTCAGAGGCCACCTCTCTGTGGTTACACAGGGAAGCATTCGAAGAGCAGGATTCCAATGGGATCCAGGAGTTAAGAGAGCACAGGTTCTTTAATCCCAGCCAACACCATCACACAGACATACATGCAAGCAAATCTCCAATGTACATGAAATACAAATAAACACTTAAAGCAACAACAACAGAAAACCAAACAAAAAAAGACAGACAGGGGTCTCGCTGTGTAGCTCTGACTGTCCTGGAATTCACTCAGTAGACCAGGCTGGCCTGGAACTCACAGAGATCCACCTGCCTGTGCCTCCCGAGTGCTGGGATTAAAGGTGTGCACTGGCTGGCTCTAATTACTTTTCTCTCATATTTAAAATCATTCTTCGGGGCTTGGGGAAGATAACTTGGGAGTGGAGCACTTGCTTAGCACGCTCAGGGTCGTGGGATGAGAGGTTATAAAGGACTAGGACTAACTTCCCTGTCTGCGGGTTGAAATGTGTGCTGTAGAGCTGTGGGTTGCAGCTGGTGGCCAAATGTCCTTTCTGCTCCAGGGGTCCCCGTGCTCCACCTCATCGCCACACCCTTTCCTGCCGTGTGGCACACACCTGCTGATACTGAGGCCAACCTCCACCCACCCACTGTGCACAACCTGAGCCGCATCCTGGCTGTGTTCCTGGCCGAGTACCTGGGACTCTAGCCTGCAGATCCTTTGGAAGGACCTTACACCCAGCTGGGGACATGAGAGGGACACATTGGGCCAGTGTGGAGTGGCCAGGCTCACCTCAGATGTACGTATGCTACAAGCATCTCCAGCCACTGTCTTTCAAGATGGAGGCCACAAGTCAAAGGAACAGTTTTGGCTTCTGTCCTGAAGAAAATGGACTAGTCTGGAAGTTCCCAGGGATCAAATGATATGGCATGGGCTGGTAACTGGACCAGCACCACCAACCAAATGAATCTCTGTGGCTGATATTTTATGTCAGTGCATTTGCTACCCCATGGTCACAGTTCTGAGTCCCACATGGGCAAGGGCTTCAGGACTCAGGACAGAGATGAAGCCCAGTCAGGTGGCTTCACAATCCCCTTAGCAAAGGCCACAGCTCCCACTGGGAAATGACATTAGTTTCCTCCCTCAGAAGGCGAGATCTTGCAGGGTTAGGGAGAATGAAGTGGTTCTCGAAGTGTCTCACAGTAGAACCCCTTATGAGGAAGCACTTAAACGCAGCGGCCTCAGATACTTGGGGACCACACACACACACACACACCCCACCCCGGACCCAGTCAACCCTGGACTACCATTTCCTTTGGTAGAGCAAGCTTGCCATCAAGGCACAGTCACCTCACCTGGCACTATTTCTCTTTTTACGACAAGGTCTAACGGCACGGCCCTGACTCCCCTGGAACTGTGCAGTCCTGGTTGGCAACAACCTCACAACCCTCCTACCCAGTCCCAAGTGCTGGGATAACAGATTGCTACCTCGCTGTAGCCAGCCAGGGGTTGTTTCTCAAGTCCATGTAAATAAACAGGCTTCCAAATCCACCCCAAACCCACGGAACCAGGACCAGTGGCAGGGGCAGGGACAAGAATAGTAAGATCCGGTGTCGTGGCATTCACCTTAAATCCCAGACCTCAGGAGGCAGAGGCGGGCGGATCAAGGCCAGCCTGATCTTCAAGAGAAACCCTGTCTCGAAAAACCAAAAAACAAACAAAAAAGGAATAAACATTTGTGGCAATGTTTCATCAACTGCATTTGGTGTTCCTTATCAAGGCCACTTTGGTGAATGCAGAGTTCTCAGCGAACTTCGCTGAGTAAGACCATAGGTGGTGGGAACCGGGTTGAAGGGGCAACTCAGTCACTAGCACTTGCTGAGCACGTGCGAGGCCACCCTTTGTCTTAGTCAGATGGAGTGTTAATGAGGGTGTGCCATCCACTGGTTTTCCTGAACTGCAGATTTCATGGGAACCTGAACCATAACTCAGGTTAGAAAACAAGATCCAGGTATGACACAGGTTCATTAATTCCGTGAATCCCAGCTCACCTCATTTAAGGCCTGCCGAGGATAGAGTGAACTCAAAGCTGGATTGGCAATTTCGTGAGACCCTGTGTTAAAATGGCTGAGAATGTAGCTTAGCACCTACCTCTTAGAACCCCCGCAGTGAGGGGCTGGGGTGTGGCCCAGTGGCAGAGCATGCATGGTCCTGGGCTCCATCCTTAGCACGCACGCACTCATCAGGTTATGTAAGATGACATTCACTGTGAAAAGGCTCCAGTGGATTAGTCTGCCTGATGAACTCAGCTAGACCCCTGGCACTACCGTGGAAGGAGAGACCTGCCTGTGGGTGCTGTGCCAAGTGCACCTCTCCTACCTGAGGTGGAACAGTAGTTTGAGATGGGTTACATTTGTTCTTGCTGTGCAATATTTGTTGCATTAGTTTAAGTCTGTGAAGCTGCTGGTCTAATAAAGAACTCCCAAATAAATAGAGAGACTTACTCTTACTTATGAATGCCCGGCCTTACCTTGGCTTATTTCCAGCCAGCTTTTCTTTTCTTGTTTGTTTTCAAGACAGGGTTTCTCTGTGTAGCTCTGTAGACCAGGCTGGCCTGCCTCCACCTGCCTCCTCCCGAGTGCCGGGATTAAAGGTGTGAGCCAGTTTTTCTTAGTTTTTCTTAATTAACCCATTTCCCTTATGTTTTGCCTCTGAGCTTTTACCTTTCTCTGTGTCCCTCCCTCCCTCTGTGGCTGTTTGTCTGGCTGGCCCCTGGTGTCCTCTTCCCTTCTTCTTGATCCTTGCTCACTCTCCTTTTTCTCCCATTTACCCTCTCTGCCTGGCAGCCCCACCCATCCCTCCCCTGCCCAGCCAACTGGCCATTCGGGTCTTTATTAGAGCAATCCAGTGTTTTAGGCGGGCACGACGACACAGCTTCACAGAGTTACACAAATGCAACGTATCTTTGCATCATTCAACAAATATTTCATAACAACTACACACATGTACAAAATACTGAGAACGAAAGAACCTTAGGTTTTTAACTTGGGCCCCATCCCCAGGGTAACTATATAAAAACGAGGGTTGTGGAGTTCTGACAGACGAGATGTAGTCAGAGCTTGTGTAGTTCCTCCACCATGAAGGGGACTCCCCTCCTGCGCCACAGGGACAGCAGGGATTCCTGCGGTCACAGACCACAGCACGACAGCGAGGAACACTGCTGGGCACCGTGGACACCATCGAATGGTGACCGGATGGTCCCATACTCACCCCATGCTGGACTCTTGAAAAAGGAAAATGATCTTGTCTAAGCCACTATTATTTTGAGATTTTAAAGAAATAGTGAGAGACGGTAAGAGCCTAAACCCTTTCAGACGAAGAGACTTAGCTGGGGACCCCTTCTCCTCTCCCAAGCCACCCTGCCAGGCATACACCTTTGGACTGTTGGCTGGTGGTAGCGCATGCCTTTAATCCCAGCACTTGAAAGGCAGAGAGGCAGGAGGGATCTCTGAGTTTGAGGCCAGCCTGGTCTACAGCGTGAGTTCCAGTATAGCCAGGACTACAGAGAGAAACTCTGCCTTGAAAAAAACATTAAAAAATAAATTAAAAAATTTAAAAGTTTGGATCAAACTGCCTAAAAATCAAGGTCCCGGTTAACCAAAAGATTCTAAAGAAACCTGTGGCTTGGGGGAAAGGGTACAGAAACCCCAATGCCCCCATGAGTAGCCCATGTGAAAGGAAAGATCACCTAGAAATTCAGACTCACTGTCCTCGCTCTCAGAGGCAAGGGGCTTCACAGCTTTACTGGGGATTCAGTGACAAGAGCTTAAAGAGGGGTCTTCACACTTGAGGGATCTCACCCACCTTCCCTGGGGCCGCCAGAAAAGGAAGAGACTGGTAGTTCAGAAGAAATGTTTTTTTTTTCTTTCTTGCTTGCTTTTTTTTTTTTTTTTTTTATTTAATGAGGAAAACATCTAGAAACGGTGGGCTGCCTCCAAAAAGTGCCGACTTGAGTTGCATTGCGAGCTAGTGGCCTAGAGGTGTCAACCTCAGGGACTGCAACCCTTTTGTGAACACAGCTCCAAAGACAGAACTGGTGGAGGGAGGCACAGAGTGGGGTAGGGCCAGCTTGAGGAAAGCCTCAGGTGGTACCAAAATTAGCTGCCGTCTGCTCCCTGCTGGTGGGTCCCTGGGGCAGAGACTCAGGGATGGATGGGGTTGGGGCTGGATGGAGGCGCAATTGAGATGCTGATAAAACAAAAAACAAACAAACAAGCAAACAAACAAACAAACCACAACCCTCTCTGAGGGTCCACGGCCCTGGCTCTGAAGAGTAGAAAACCAACAGGGTCAAGCAGGGTACTGACCCCACTGATCCCCAGTCCTGGTCCCAGTTCTAGTCAGAGATCAATGCTGGATGGACTGGGAGGTTGGCTGGTGACTCAGTCCTGGTTCCCAGCTCCCAGCGGGGCAGGAAGGGGTTAGGTATGGTGGGTATCCCTCACCCCCAGGCTTCACCTCCCTTCTTCGCGGCCGGCACGGCCCCCGCCCACTCCATTGCACGGCAGCACCCAGTTGTTGTCGTGCAGGCCCAGGCGACAGCCTGGTGTCTCGCGATCGGCTCTCCGGCAGCACATCCAGTAGGAACGTCCGTAAGGCAGGTCATGGTGGTAGGGCTTGGGGTGCCAGCGGCACAGTGACACATCGCCCTTCTCATACCTTTTGCGGCACTGCTTACAGGGGTCATCCCGATAGAGCGGGTCCCGGTTCCAGCGAGAGTCCGTGGCGCGCACCCCGAAGGCTTCGATGATGCCCTTGAAGTGGTGGCAGGTGCACTTGAGGGCCGCCAGCGCTCGGGTGGGCAGGAAGCTGAAGATCTTGACCAGCACATGCTCAGGCAGCAGCAGCATGTACTGCCGGGGCTCCAGAAGACGCTGGATCTTGAAGCGAATCTCCAGGAAGTCGTGTGACACGTGCCGGTACAGGCGGCACAGGGAGGTGTCCGTGGTGGCCTCAGAGTCGTCTGGGCCTGGCACTGCGCTTGGCGTGTCAGCCGGCGGTGGCTCAGGAGGCCCCTCTGGACCCCGGGACGGGAGGAAGAAGAGCTGGCCCGGTGGGGGCGGCTCCTCCGGGCTCACTGTCAGACAGACAGTCTCTTCCTTCACGTTCTTGGTGCCATCTTTGCCAAAGAAGATGCACTCGTCCACTACACCCGTCACCACCACATCCACATGGAACCCTGATGCTCCGCAGTCCCGGGCAGGGGGTGGAGGCGGTGCCGGGGGAGTGTCCTCAGGCCTGGCCACGGCTGCTGTGTCGCCCTCACTGGCCTCGTCCGCTCTGGCCAGTAGGAACTCCATGTTGCTGGGAAGGGCATCCCTGGACGGGCTGATAAGCTGGTACAAGTCACAGGTGATTTTGTCTTTGGCTCGAGCCCCAGGCCCGGGACTACCAGGCCGGCTTCCGCTCCAAGTAGGTAAATTGCCGTCTGGTGAACGGGGCTCTCGGCCATTAGAGATTCGGAAGGCGATGCGCACCTCGCCTGGCCCAGGACCTGGCCGCTCCTCCTTGCGGAGACCCTTGGTTGGAGGACTGTCCCGCTGGGCCTCAAAGTGGGCCACTGCCTCAGCGACTCGGCTGCAGTCACCGCCACCAGACCGCCTCTCTGTCCCTAACCCCTTGGCCGGTGCCCCCTGCTCAGCTGACACAAAGACCACGGGAGCCTGGGCAGTGGGGCGTGGGTAACTCTGCAGGGCCAGGGCAGCTCTCTGTTCCACCAGGGCCACCATTTCTGCTACAGAGAGCAGGTCTACGTCATCCCCGGATGTCGTGGGGGGCCCCTCAGTGGCAGGGGCCCCTCCTCTGCCCCCTGGGTCTGGAGGAGCCTTGGTGAGCTCAAGGCAGCGACGCCTCCTCTTGGCTTTGGAGCTACCACTGCCCCAGTGCCCTTTGACCTTCATAGAGTTAGCCCGGCTACCTCCCCCACACTGGTGGGCCACAAAGAAGGCCACCTTCTCCTTTGTGTTTCCAGGCTTGATTACATACCACGTGTCCAGCAGGACTCGACCCTCGTCGCCAGCAGTTGCTGACGAGAGGAGTGGGGCATGCTGGGAGGCGGGGGCTTCCGCAGCCAGGGCAGGCGGTGTGTTCTCCGAGTGTGCACGTCCGCGGTCCGGCTCGGGCGCACCGCCTGTGTCAGTACAGGCTGGCAGCTTGAGGGCTGCGGAAGGCGGGCGGGGCTGGTTCTGGGAATATGTGCCGAAGGGCCGGGGGCACCAGAGCTGGTAGGGCAGGAGGCTGCCCCTGTCCATGCCGGGGGATGGCAAACAGCGGGCAGTCACTGCATCTCAGGACCAGGACGGTAGCAGGGAGCCCCGCATGCCACCTGCAGACAGAAGGTTGAAACACTGTTGTGGAATACTGCCCCAGTCGGTCTAGTGGGAGCTGAGCGGCCAACAGCAAGGCAGGAGGAAGACAACTGGGGCTGGCAGGCAGAGGGCGTAAATGGGAGGGATTTGGGAAAGAAAAGATCAGGGAGCAGGAGCAGGAGCAGGAGAGGACTCCAGGGGCAGCCACCCAGCTACACAGCAGCCAAGAGCAAGAAGTAAAGAAAGGCATACAGAAATAGAGAAAGGCAGATGGATACTCTAAGTATTTACTCTGTGTATTTACGTGGGAGCTGGGTGGTGGGCCCCACAAAGAGTACAGAGTATAAAACCAACCAACAACAGAGTACTGGCAACCGCCCTTCTTCCCCTGACCACCCAGTCTTAACTTCTGCACAAGGGACAGATGAAATTGTCCCCCACACTGAGGTGGTACAAGCCTGTTCCCAACCAGGAGTCCAAGGCCACTCTGGGCACCCTGAGACCCATCTCTAAAACACACACACACACACACACACACACACACACACCCAAGCTCTCTTCTTGGGCTGGGGTGTGGCTCACTGCTGAGAGCTACTGCCTAGAATCCCCCAGTAAAGGGCTAGGACTGTGGCTCTGTGGTACTGTGACACAGAGCCGTGCCTGACTTTACCTAGCCAGGGTTTCGGGGTGGTGCAATGGCAGCCTCTCTGTAAAGCAGACTGGAACTCGGAGATCCGCCTGCCTCTGCCTCTCGAGTGTGGGATCAAAGGTGAGGGCCACCACACCAGGCCTGGCTGACCTCTGACCTTCAGTGAAAGCACCGGCTGGACCGCGCCCCTCCTCCCTGCCCTTGTACTCCTCGTGGCCAGCTGCTGAAAAGGCAGACATTCCCTTGTCCACCACTACTGGAGCACAGTAAGGTGATTAGGCAGGCGGGGAGTATCGGAAGCCAGACCCAGACAGACCACTCTTCACTTGTTTTGGGCTCGTTGTAGCCCAGGCTAGTCTCGAACTCACAGCAATCTAATCCACTTGCTTCAATCTGGGGTTATAAAGGTGAGGCACTATACTCAGATTTTGAGATTATTCCCATTTTTTAACCCCGGCTGAGCACCTGTTGAGAGCACTTTTTACTATGTGTGCTGTGTTCTGCCCGCATGTATCCCTGCATGCCAGAAGAGGGCACCAGATCTCATCATAGATGAGATCTCATAGATGGTTGTGAGCCACTATGTGGTTGCCGGGTATTGAACCTGGATCCTCTGGAAGAGCAGCCAGTGCTCTTAACCTCTGAGCCATCTCTCCAGCCCTCTGGAGACACTGTTCCACTTTCCTGGAGACACTGTTCCACTTTCTACTTACCAGCAAGTAGCAGATGCCTGGTCTCCATCTTTGGCTCATCTCCTCCCAGACATCTCAGAATGAAAATAACCCTCCAACAGGGCATGCTGATGAGTGCCTATAATCCCAGATCTGAGGAGGCCGAGGCAAAAAGATGGAGAGTTCCAGGTCAGCCTGGGCTACACAGCCAGTCCTCGTCTAAAAAGAGACAAACAAGTAAGCAAAAGAAAACAAAACCCTTCACAGAATAAACCCTGAACATGCTAATGGATCAGCGAGCTAAATAAACTACATGCCGAGAATTAAGAACCCAGCCCTCTGCCTGTCTTTGTTACATTTTATGGAAACAAATTATGGCTGCTTTCACCCCAAAAGACCAGAGCTGCGTCAATGACTGCATGGCCCGAAATCATTCATTACCTGGTCCTTTATAAAAAGTTAGCTTGCTGGGCAGTGGTGGTGCATGCCTTTTATTCTAGAATTTGGGAGGCATAGGTAGGTGGATCTCTGTGAGTTCAAGGCCAGCCTGGTCTACACAGAGAGTTCCAGGACAGCCAGGACTACACAGAGAAATCCTATCTTAAAAAACAAACAAAATACCCCAACCAACCAACCAAACAAACAAAAAACCCACCCCTCAAAAACAACCCAATCCCACACCCCCAAAAAAGAAAAAGTTAGCTGGTGCTGTAGACTGTCTGCTCTAAATCCAGGCAAATCTGACACAGTATTACTTTATGGTCCGGAAGATGTCACTCAAAACTCAGCCTCCAAATACGGTCACCAGCAAAAGAACCCCAGTTTTAAGAATCATTACCCTACCCCACCCTCATCTCCAGAATCTTCATGTCCTACCCTCAAGTATCCAGACATTTTCAAATTCTGCTTTAAAATTCCAACATCCCCCCCCCCCCTCAGGCTGGAGAGATGGCCCAAAGGTTAAGAGTATTTCCAGAGGTCCTGAGTTCAATTCCCAACAATCACATGGTGGCTCACAGCCATCTATAATGAGATCTGGTGCCTTCTGCCATACAGGCAGAATACTGTATGCATAATCAAAAAATAAATCCTTTTTAAGAAGTTCCAACCCCCTCCCCCCAAGACCCTGTCAAGCCTGGTGGCACATGCCTGTAATTCCAGCACTTGGGAGGCTGGGGCATGAGGCAGGATGGTAACAAGTTTAGGTTTGCCTGGGCTATATTCAAAGAAAGACCCTGTCTTAAAAAAAAAAAAAAAAAAAAAAATCAAAGTGGTGCAGCAGGCCTTTAATCCTAGCCCTAGGGAAGTAGAATCTGCAGGTGGATCTCTGTGAGTTCAAAGTCATTCGAGTCTGTGGATCTAGTCCTAGCCAGCCAGGGTTACCTAGAGACCCTGTCTCATAAATAAATAAGAATGGGAGCTGGAGAGATGGCTCAGTGGTTAAAAGCACTTGCTGCTCTTACAGAGGACCCAAGTGTGGTTCTCAGCACCCACAGAGTGGCTCTCTGTAACTCCAATTCCAGAGGACGCATCTGGTGGTCTTTGCCAGCGGCAGACAACGTACGTGGTGCACAGACACACACGCAGGCAAAAAACGTACACATAAAACTTCAAAAAGAAAACAACAGATCATTACGCCCTCCGGCAGGCACATAGAAGCCAAATCACAAATAACTTCATCCATCTGAGGATACACAGCAATACCCGAATTTCACAGGTGACTCGGTGGGTCTCCTGACATCCTCTGCTCGTTCCAGACACCGATTCTACCCCTCCATTCATTCCCCAGGAGCTCGCGAATCTTGAAAGGAAGCCCTAACCAAACAAGTGTCAGTAGTCCCTAAGGAAACCTGGAGGGGCAGAGCAGCGGCAGACTCGCGTCCCGCACAGCGCGCTGCAGCAGGCGGTGCTCGGACGCGCTGGCCTGCGGGGCCCCGCCTGGGAAGCGGGATGCGCCGCAGAAAGCAAAGCGCCGTCCTGTCCCTGGCCACTCCGGTGGGAGGTACTGAGCCCAGGCGTCCCGGCGCCGGAACACTCTTAGCCAGTGCGCCCCCGACACCCCGCAGCACAAAGGACACCTCTGAAGCTCACAAAACAGCCCGAGCTCCTGGGAGCCCCGAAGTACCCGTCCCCTCCACCCCCGCAACTTCCCCAAGCCTCAATCCTGGCTCAGACGCAAACGCGGCCCCGGACCCCCCCAGCCGGGCCCGCCTCCTCCCCCTCCTCCCGGGAGAGATCTTCAGACCCTCGCAGGTGACCCCCGCCCCCACCCACCCGGACACGCCCCCTCTCCCCCTCCACGGCAGCGCGCTCACCCGCAGCGCCTCCCCCAGGCGGGAAGGAGAACGGCGGCCCACGAGCATGCGCACTGGAGCCCCGCGGGCCCGCCCCCTTGCGCGGGCTGGCGCGCCGCGCGCCCCGCCCCGCCCCTTTGTTGACAGACGCGCGCGTGCCGGCCCCAGCCAATGAGCGGCCGCGGTTCGGAGCCGTGCCCATATAAGGAAGGCCCTGGCGACGCGGCCCGGCTAGGAAAACAGGAGTGGGCGTGGGGTGACGGCGGGGGGCGGAGACAGCCCGACGCTAGGGAGCGGGGGCAAATTCCCGAGGTCCAGGGCTGCCGGACGGCCGGACGGCCGGACACGGGCCGCCGCTCTCAGGGAGGGGCACTGCCCGACGTCCCCTCGGAGCCGAGCCCGGGGCCGGGGCGGGCGGAGAGCCGCGGGCGGGCGGGCGGGGCGGCGCGCGGAGGCCCCGGCTCTGCTTACCGGCTGCGGTGGCCGTGAGAGGCGGCTTCCCGGTGGGGCGCACGCAGCCCGGCCAGCCTGAAGTCCCAGTAGTCCGGGAGGCCGAGGGACGAAGTTTTCGGCCGACCCGGGCTACTGAGTGTCAGGCTGTCGTAAAATAAAAGTAAAGTCGTACGAAACAACGGCAACGACAACAGCGACCTTTCCAGAAACCCCCAAGCAGGCAATCAGGGGCTGGAGGGGCGGCCCCGCCGTTAAGAGCATAGGACCCAGGTTCGGTTCCGGCCACCCGCAAGGCAGCTCACAACCGCCTGCTTCGATCTAAGTCCAGTTCCGGAGGACCGGCTGCTGCCACGTCACGTATGCAACTCACAAACATGTATTAAACAGGTGGAGGATCCCGGCGGCGGCGCACACCTTTAACCCCAGCACTCGGGAGGCGGAGGCAGGCGGATCTCAGAGTTTGAGGCCAGCCTGGTCTACAGAGCTACACAGAGAAACCCTGTCTCGGTGGGGTGAAGCTAGCATTTAGGACACAGAGCTACGAGGATCAGGGGTTCAAGGCTAGCTAGCCTGGGCTACATCAGACCTTGAAAATGCTAACCCTGTCCTGGTCCCGCACGGGTCACTGGACTTGGCATTCAAGGCTAAGGTAGCTGGCCACGGGGAACTGTCCCAGTCTTTTCCACGAGGCTCGCTCTAACTCACTACAGGAAAACAAAAGGAAGGCACTCAATAATGACTTTTAAGTTCAAAGGTGGCTTTCACTACAGTGCAGGTGGCTGGAGAGATGGTTCAGTGGGTAAGGGCATTTTGGCTTTTCCTCAAGAGCCGAGAGCGTCACCAATCTACAGTTTTAAGGATTTGTTTTTATTACTACAGTGTGTGTGTGTGTGTGTGTGTGTGTGTGTGTGTGTGTGTGTGTGTGTGTGTGTGTGTGCGCGCGCACGCGCGCGCGCGCGCGCGCCCGGAGTCCAGATGAGGGCGCTGGGGTTACTGGCACCTCCGAGCCACCTGATGTGGTGCTGGGAACTCAGGTCCTCTGGTAGAGCAGCAAGTGCTAGTAATCTCTAAACCATTTCTCCAACCCTTTAATCCACAATTTTAATGGGAACCACAAACACACCTGTCACAGGAGATTGCCCAAGAAAGTGAAGCTGATAGTAGAGCCACACTCTACACCCTCATTAAATGCCCCCAATAATTAGAGAATGCACATTCCCACACCCTGATATGCAGAGTAGTCTGGAAAACCTTGCCCTTGACATGCACAGAGGTCCTGTTGCTGGCTGCCCCTGGGCGCATAGAGCTCACCAGAAATAGCTCACGGGACTCCCCGCCCCCCCAGGCAACATAACTACATTATGGGGTTTGCAGTACAACACCTGAAATTAGCTCATTTAATTCCTATATCTTCTCTCTCTAGGATCTCACTATGTAGTCTGGCCTGGCCTCAAACTCTTTGATTTTTCCCGGCTCAGCCTCTTAAGCACTAGGAGCCCAAACATCCTCCACAAGTGGTGTGTCTCATTTTTATGTCTTTATTTGGGGTCTATGTATGGCATATGAATGTGTTTGTGTGGGAGTGTGTAAGTGTGCTTGGAAATGCAAATGAGTGTGCAGTAGACAGATTAACACCAGGTGTCTTTATCACCAGCACAGAGTTTTTCCCCCCAACTCTAAACCAGGGTTTTGATGGGGGCTGTCCATCTGTATGCTCATAGAAATGGGTTATTAATTTAGAGAGAGCTAGCCAATAAGAAGCCCGAGCCATTGGACAAACAGTTTATAATTAATATAAACCTCTGTGTGTTTATTTGGGACTAACTGGCAATGGGATTAGGCGGGACAGAAAGTTCCATCCACGGGGTTTCTCTGTGTAACAGGCCTGGCTGTCTTGGAACTCACTTTGTAGACCAGGCTGGCTTTGAACTCAGATTCTCCTTCTACTGCCTCTGGACTGCTGGGATTAAAGGCATGCAACGCCACCACCGCCACCAAGACCACCACAGGCTGTACATGCTTTTTGAGGCAGGATCTCTCACCAAAACCTAAGCTCAGTAGTAGCTAGATTAGGTGGCAAATGAGAATCTAATCCAAATGTCTGGGGATGCACATAGCTGTGCCTGGCAGCTTAGGTGGGTGCTGGGGACCTAAACCCAGGTCCTCATGCTTATAAGCAGGCACTTTACCAACTAAGCCATCTCAACACAGTGTGTCCGTTCTTCCTTTCTAAAATGGGCCTAAGACCTTCTACTTTAAGGTGTCTGTATATGGGTATGTGTATGGGTAAGGGAGCCCAAGGAGGTCAAAGAGGGTGTCAGACCCCCGGAAGCTGGAGTTTCAGGTGGTAATGAGCCACCTGCCATGGGCGCTGGGAACCAAACTCAGGCCCTTTGCAAGAGCAGCCAGTGTTGTTAATGTTGAGCCACCTCCCCAGGCCCTTTGCAAGAGCAGCCAGTGTTGTTAATGTTG